GTACTACAACATTGATGAAATATTACTGAGAGGATGACATTCAGAGCACAATTTATTGCATCCGTTCTGCATGATTTGATTATGAGCAATCGAATTCAGCTCAAAACCTCGTTCATTAAATAATATTGCATCGTTGTGTGTTATCTTAAAACAACATTATGTTAATTTGGGGGGTTTGTGGGGATTTAGTGATTTTTCAAGCTGGCATTCATCAGGGCTGACATCGGTTAGCGGAATATTGGAAACCTGGGAGCACTGGACAGCTGTTTTGTCCTAGCGTGGAACTCCTCAGGGCTGAGCACCCACAACCCCGCCAGGGATCGAACCCAGGACTTTCCTAAACATCTGTCCAATGCTCCTACAACTGATGTCATTCCATGATGAATGCCAACTTGAATTATGCTAATTGGTTAGAAGCAATAGGCAGGCAGGAAGCGACTGACCTTCTGCAAGAATGGATTGGATGTACTGATTGGTCACTACAAGATAAGGAATTTTATGTTGTGTAGTCCTGAATGCTGGCCAAATTCTATTGATCATTTTTCAATGTGGCTACCAAGCTAAGAGGCTTGGCTTGCTGGCGCATGGCCTGAATAGTTCAGTTGTAATACCTCTGACTGAAATCCAAAGTTGGAACCACGGGTCCACAATTTCCTGTCAATTGCCTCTAGTCAACTAACATCTCTTCTAGCGCACTAGTGATGCTGAGAATCCTAGCTTAGTGATTGATATAATTTGGTCAGCACCCAGGACTAGACAACATGAGATTGGTTGCTCTCTAGTGATCGATCAATGGAAAAATGAATTATGGTCAACTACAATGCTTGAATCCAACCCTGCACTTCATCTTGTCTTCACTTGAGATTATAGATTGAAGAAAGCATTGAGTTGGTGTGCGTAACACACATTCAAGTAAGTAATCATTTCCACTGAAATTAATACTGGTAACAGTAAATGAAAGGGGATATGAGTTACTACCACCCTAGGAGTGTATCGGTTCTGTCATAAGCCAGATTTTCTCTTCACACACACACACACACACACACACACATGCACAAATCAATACGGCAATAACTTACACAAAGTCTAATTAATAAATTGTAATGAATAATTCCTTTAAAGGGGTGAACAAAAATTTACTAGCTCTATGTGCCACAAAAATGTGTCACACATGTATGCCATCTGTGAAAGGAATGTCTGTTGATATAAGCTCTGTGTGTGTGTGTGTGTGTGTGTGTGTGTGTGTGTGTGTGTGTGTGTGGTGGATATGATGTACTAATAGTTTATGAGCCAACAGTGTGTGTGTGTGCACGCACATGTGCGCTCAAGGTCGGCTGCGAACACATACACACACACACACATCGACTCATAATCCAAAAATGGATCAAAATCTCCTTCAACATCATATCAGATCGATAAAATGAATAGTTTTACGAGTTTTCTGTGTAGTAATTATTACCACTATGATTAGTCTTTACTACTACTACTACTACTACACAACTGGTTAGATGTTTCTGAAAAAGTACATATGGATGAGCACGTGCAAAAGCATATACGAAAAGGAATATTTATACTTAAAATTCTGGTATGTTGTTTCTTATTCTCGTTGTATCATTGATAGTTAAGAGAATAAGAGAAATTAGAGATGATGAGGTGTGTTTCAAGTCGAGAGTGGAACACATACACACACATACATACATACATACATACATACATACATACATACATACATACATACATACATACATACATACATACATACATACATACATACATACACAAATACAGAAGTAATGATTACATTCTCACCTGAAAAACATACGTTTTTAATAGTAACAAACGAAAATAGAAAGTGATAATTTCTTATGTGTATACCATTGAATCATTGATTAGATGTAAAAACAAGATAAAGTTATTTATTTATACAGACTAATTGATAAAATGAACGGATGAAATATTGAAAATGTATTGTAAAACAACACTTTGCTTGTATTATAACGTCATTGATTGAACCCAATTGATCGGTCTCTATTGATTATGGGCTCCTGTGTGGATGCTTCGATATTACTTGTGTTCTAATTATAGTAAGGAAGAATAGTGGCTAGCAATGGAATCTAAGATGTACATTTCGTCTTGTTTGGCACTCATCAGTTGGATGTACTTGCCTCCACCGAGATTGGGACTTGAAAGCGATCGCTCCAAATGTAAGAGCGTTATCCATTAAGAAGTGGCTATCGTGACTCGGTGGGGTGTGGTGGATAATGCTCTGGCATTTGAAGTGATCGCTTTTGAGTTCGAATCCCGGTGGGAACAACACTACTCACTGAGAGGTAGGTACATCCTGCTGACGAGTGCCACTACTATCCACTATCCATCTTTACAATACTGATTACTGTTTGGATGCTTGTGATTTCCCGTTGGTAAACAAGGTCGAATAGCTTACCGAATAGGCTTCTATGCAAATCTCTCGATACTGCTGCTGGATATTCATGATGTTGCAATCATCTTAGTGACTCGCAGTGGAATCCAACTTGAAGTACGTTTCGTCTTATTCAGGACCAAATGCATAACGATTTCGCATTTGAAGCGACGGGTACTGGCTTCGAGTCTCTCAGTGGGAACAACATCACTCTCTGGGGTGGGGTGCAGGTACATCGAGCTGACGAATGAGAACCTAGATAAAGAAATTTCCAGTTTCAATAGAATTTCTGTTTGGAATGCATATTATGTACTTTGGAAAGTAAGCTGGTGCTTTAGGAACAGCTTGCACCAACTCCTACTTTATGAAGAGGCAGATAGTAGCAGTGAGGTGGCAGATTGTGTTAATCATCTCATTAGCGCTAATACATGAGTTACCGATGAAATTACTTCTTGGATATAAAAGACCTATTTGGCATTTGCTGAATTACAAAATTTTTGGCGCTATTCACATATTCAACTAAGTATCAAACGATTAGTACACTGTGCAATACTCTAACTTCTCTTAACCGTACAATTTGTGACATATATTCGTTAAACGGTAGAAGATATGAGAAGACTATGGGCCTTGTGTCTCTTCAAGTGAGAAATGTTGAGGTCAGGCGTAGGATATTAAACAAGAAAGATGAGTTAGTTGATTGCAGGAGAATTAAGTTGGAAGTAAGCTGTAGATGATCAGGCCAGTAATCCATGAAATAAATTAATTTGCAGCAGGTTGGTGGGAATTTTTAGATTTCAGGTCGACATTCATCATAGACTGTCATCACAATTGGAAAAGCACTGAAAACCTGTGAGAACTCGACAGCTGTTTCCTCCAATTATGGAATTCCTAAATAGTGCGCACACGGTGGGGCAAACGAACTCGAACGTGAGGACAAATACTCAATGGCGACACTGGATGAACGTAGCACTATATTCTGAATTGATAGAAGCAAAGAAATGTAGAAAACTAGGTTCCTATACAGCGACTCAATGATAACGTGGGCTCCGTCAAAGCAGTGGATCTCCAGTTCGACCTCTGTAGCGGGTCATGGGTGCGCACGCTTGAGGAGTTCCATGTTAGGATGGAACAGCTGTCCAGTATTCAGGTCTCCAGTGGTTCTCCAAGTCATATCAGTTCGTGACGAATATCACCATGAAATCCATGAAGTGTCTGACTTTTGTTTTGAGCAATGTAGATAAATGCAGGCTACTTCACTGGAGTACAAGTACAGCCTGATTAATAGTCGTTCTGTTGGTCATTTTATGCAGCGTTAGGTCAACAGCCTGCAAAAGTGATGGTGAGGATCCTGATGTGAAGTAAATTCACTGAAATTTAATCATCATTCACAAGATGATGTTTACTCACCATTAAAAACTATACAATATGTACTTGGATACTACTCCGACGTCAAGTATTGCAACAACTTACAACATTGAGGATATCGATCTTTCCTGAAGGATATAATTGCTAAGGTCAGCGACGTTATAGATAAGGTGCAAATTAACCTGGTACATAGTTATACACTAGGCTATGAACCATACATGTTATGAAAGGGCTTATGATACTAGGTAGTATAGACCAAATTAGGTGGAGCGGGGCTCGAATCCAGGACTGTCTTAAACTCACCTTCCTAAGCCAATAAGTCTTAACTAAAAAACACATTTACATAGTACAAAATAATATTAAAAAAAAACTGAAATGCACTTAGTGGCCTTACCTTGTTAATAAAAACAAAGTTTCAGGTGGTATGAAGATTTTTTTTATCTATCCAATTAGAAAATCGATTAAAAAACAAAATACTTATCAGATTTTGAGGGAGTTGTGGAGATTTGGAATTATTTCAAGTTGTTATTCATCGGAGACTGACATCAGTTGGAGGAAAAAAGGGAACCTGGGAGCACTGGACAGCTGTTTCCTCCAACTAGTATGGGACTCCTCAGCAGTGCGCATCCACGACCCCATCCCGCCAGGGATCGGACCCACAACCTTCAGGTTCCGCGGCCAGCGAGTTACCATAGAGCTAGCCACTGGGTCAGAATCCAATGCTTCATATTTACAACTTCTGTTAGCTCACGATATATAGCGCAACCGCCACCCAATATCATCACCCTCAAAATTTAATTAAACTGGTGCTCATTGGTGACTAGTTTCGAGAAGTATTCCCGAAGTTCCAATGACAAGTCGTGACCGGTGGAGTCAAAGCCTGATGGCCATGAGGACAAATACTCAGCGATGACATTGGGTGGCAGTTGCTCTATATATCGTGAGCTGACAGAAGTTGGAAATATGGAGCATTGGATTCTGACCCAGTGGCTAGCTCAATGGTAACACGCTGGCCGCGGAACCTGAGGGTCGCGGGGTTCGATCCCTGCTGGTGGGGTCGTGGGTGCGCACTGTTCCTCTAACTAATGTCAGTCTACGATGAATAACAACTTGAAAAAATACTTATCACTATAAAATTGTAGAAAATTATTAAAAAGGAGGGAAATTATAGAATAGATGAAAATAAGAAAAAAAAGATAAACAAACAACCACCTACCCTTGACCAATCTTTTCTATTCGTTGATATTTTCTATTCGGATCACCAATACTAACAATCATTCTCAATTTTTCTTGTATCATTTCATCGGTTACCCTGGATTTACACTTTTTATTTACATTACCACGTTCTAGTGTACCAAATGTCTGATTATTATTGGTGTTATTGTCAGTATTCGTAGTAGTAGTAGTAGTAGTAATAGTATTAGTAGTATTAGTAGTAGTACTGGTAATTTTTGGCGTAATTTCATGATGATACTGATGATTATTGGTCAATTTAGATGTACATGGTATTGTTGTATTTGTTGATGTTGTAGTAGATAAGATATGATGTTGATGATAAATAGGCATACAAGTAGAATAAGCAGTCATGTTTACTGTTCCCGAAGTTAATGAAGATAATATGCAAGATTCAGAGTTCATTGAACAAGGCATATCATTATGATTAGAAGGTTTAACAATATTTTCAGAGTCAATTTGAAAAGTACTTGAAGATGAATCATATAAATTCTTATCTTTACTCTCATCTTCATCATTCAAATTATTAGTAGAAGTGTTTATTATTGTTGATATATCAATTCCATAATTATCAGTTACCATTATACTGCTATATGATTGTAAACAGATACTTGATGTTGTTGGTAATATTGATGTTGAGGTTAAAATTGTACTACTAAAATTCGTTTTGAAATTATCACCTTCTGGAATTGGTTGAGTATACTATACATAAAGTATAATTAATAATAATACCATAAAAGAAACCTATTTGATATTACAATTGACTAATTATATAATTATTCAGTCACTTTATTATATATTGCTCATTAACTGTTGATAAACACACACACACACACACATACATAGTAGTCATGTAATATATTGTGTGAATCAGTAAATCACAGGGGATTTCAGTTCTCTCTCCCAGTCGATGCTCAATAGTTTGTCATGGTCACTAAGTATTTACTGTTTATGCAAAATGTTTGATTGGGTCTTGTGCACTACTGAAAGCGTGCGGATGGTTGACACCATGGAAGGCTATTTCTTCTGAAGGTTACCTGAAAGAGGAAAGGATTTGTATGATCGCATAGCCTATGAGGCCTATCATATATGGCCGTTAGAGGGTTGCTGTTGTGAGGTTTGGTTATAATTTTAACGCTGGAGAGAGAGAGAGAGAAAGCCATACCGCCGGCACCGGAAGAACATGGGGTAGGTGGAGTATGTTATTTTCGGGGCCCAGCACTTCAAACCCCCCCCTCCCGTTGGGAAGGTAGCATCAGGGTAGGATTGATGGTCATCCAAGAGAAACACCTTACTATTGCCACACCCCATTCCTTCCGACTGCCTCCAACCAACTAACATCTATCAAAGTACAACACGATCGTGAGCCTGGGCTTGTTGGCACATTGCAGAATAACCAATAGGATTTAGTCAGCACTCATGACTGAGTAACATGAGATTGGTTGCTCTACAACGACCAATCAATGTGTGATAATCCAGTTCTACAGAAGGTCAGTCACGACTGAGTGGTGACACCACTGATTGCAACACTGGATGATGCAGGTTCGGGTCACATAGTGTGGACATCAGTTCCCTTGAAGTTGTAGATACGCCTTGCTGACGAGTGCCAACAAGCACATAACCTAAGTTCAGGGTCTTCTGCCGATTATCTTCAACCAACGAACCCCAAGTGTGACAGTCTATTAAAATATGCAATATCATCTAGCTGAGAAGAAGGCAGATTCGTTGCTTTACAAAACAATGTGCATTGAGAAGGAAGAAAGTCAAGAGAAACATGTCAGAATACGAAGTATAACACTGGGGGTGAAAACAACAACTGGGGATAAATAAAGCAAGACATGATAAAAATCTGTGAGTTATGCAGGCAAAGAATGAGTTGAGGCTTTCTGGTTGAAAATTCCACTACAGTTTCATACAATTTCACTAGTATGGTCATAAAGCCTGAAACTGAATGCACACACACACACACACACACACGTATTATGTAGACAGATTGATGGTACACTCCATTGTCCCCTTGTTATAGTGTACAATAAGATTATTCAGATGTTTCAAAGAAGCATTATATCCCTGAAGCCTTTCCATAACCAATCATTCTCAAGAAAAGTCATACGGTCATGCACATGTAAACATAGCTGCATTTCTCGACTTGAAGGCGGCATTTGACTCCGTTGATCGAGAAGTCTTATGGCAATGTCTCTCACTGAAAGGCGTGCCTAGTAAGTACATCACATTATTGAAAGCTCTCTACTCGAACACCTATGGGCATGTTAGAGCCTATGGCGAGTTGTCCAGGGAGCTATACTCATCAAGTGGTGTCCGTCAAGGATGCCCACTATCTCCATTCTTATTTAATTTTATCATAGATATTCTTATGGAGGTTTCCCTCTCGTCACCTAATTACACAGACGTTGACCCAATCACAGGTGAATTTTCTTTAGATCTAGAATATGCAGATGACATAGTCAGTCCTGTTAGGTGAAGACGCTGACTGATGAGATGCAGAGTCTTCTGAACACTTTGAGTGGGAATTTGAGAATGTTTGGGATGCGATTTTCACCACCCAAATGCAAATTTTTGCTCCAGAACTGGTCTTCAGCGGTACCCCACCGCGGTTAACAATAGAGAGTGAGTGTAGTGGTTAAGTGTGTTGACCACTTCACTTACCTGGGAAGTAGGATCAACTCTGGTGCTCTGGTCAGTTGCCGATGAAATCTATACACAGATACAAAAGGCTCGATTGGCTTTTGCCAATTTGCGCCACCTATGGCGCCGACGTGATATTCGTTTGTCTATTAAGGGTCACGTGTACTGCACAGCAGTCCGCTCTGCTCTACTGTATGACTGTGAAACATGGCCATTGAAAGTGGAAGACATGAGAAGGTTACAGGTATTTGACCACCGTTGCCTTCGTAGTATAGGACGTATTCCGTGGTGTCACCACACCACGTGAGTAATGCAGAAATTAGGTGTAGAGTTTTAGGGAGAAGAGGTAAGTCAGTTGACGAGGTTGTGAACCTTCATCGACTGAGATGGTTGGGACACGTACTACGTATGTCTAGTCACCGATTGCCTCATCACACAATGTTGGCTGAGGTGAATCCAGGCTGGAAAAAGGCTCGAGGTGGCCAGACTAAAACATGGCACCAATGTATGAAGTCTCTGACTGTTGGTTTAAGCCATGTAGGACGATGCAGACTAGGTGGTTGGGGTCCACGGGACAAGAGGAACCAGTGGTTGGAGACTGATTCTAGGTGATATGGTTGAGAACCGATGTGAGTGGCTCAGATGTATCTCCACACACATTATCGTCATCTTAACGACGGTATACCAAGTCTCACCATTTTGTCATCCCTCCTTTCTTTCTTCTCATACTTTATATTTCTTTTGACTGCATTCACTTATCTTCATCCTTCGCCTCACTACCTTTTTACTTGATGTGCTGATATGAGGTGTGGCAACTCGGACCGTTAGGCAGTCGTGCCTGGTCCTATGTTGATGATGATGATGACATGTAAACATCAGATTGGTTGAATAGACGAAAACAGTTTAGTAGGACTGAATTTATCTCAGGAGACTGCTCAGTAGACCTAGACAATGTAGATGATATAGTCTTGTTAAGTGAAGATTATGACGAGATATAGTCTTTAGGATAGTGTTTAAGTGGCAGTTTGAAAATGTTCAGAATGTTTCTCGACACCTAGATGTAAACTGCTGATTCACAACTGGTCTATGTCAATACTTCATCTGACAATTTGAAATGAAGTGGTTGAACACATTGACGACTAAACTTACTTGGATTAGTAGCTTTTGGTGTAGACTGTGTATTGTGGAAGAAAAAAAATGTAAGCAGGCGTAGTATAGCTATAAACAAAAGAAGTAAAGTCACTTGTGATACAGTTGTGGCTGTGAATTGTATTACGGAGACCTAATCACTGTTTACCCTGTTGTACAATGTTAGCTGAGTTGGCTATAGACTGCATAACGATTAAAGTCGTCGGAACTATTAAAAAAAAACGGTATTAGTTGATGAAGCCTCTGACAGCTGGTCTCACCTGTAGTAGCGTAGACTATCTGGTTGGGGTCTATCTGACAACTGAAATCTATGGTTCAATACGCTCTAGGATATGGCTCAAAATGGATCTCAGTAACAAAATTGCTGACACTAATTTCATTATGAAAAAATATTTATGTAACCTCAAGAAAAGGTAATAGTGAATTCCTGATAACTAACAAGACTGTAAAGGCTCCAATAGGACAGAAGATAACAAGTTATCATTTGTTTCTTTGAAGCAGATGGATATGCAGATGATAAGCCTTGGTAGTGTGTGCTTAAATATAAGTAGGACACTTCCTACTCATTATATTCAATAGGCTAACATGACGGTGAGTTTCTTAGCCTGATGATAATATTATTACAGCATGATAGATAGAATTCAGTTATTACACAGGACTAAAAAGCATGAAGTTGATTACTTTTCTGATGACCCATCCATGTATCAGAAATTCAAAGCTGTTATAAACTGGTAATATCGACAAATTAAACATCTCAGTAAAATATGAACTTTATTGAACGACTTTATAGCATCATCAAATAGATATGAAACCGGATAAGACTGATAGATAGCAGTGTGCATTTCATCTTAAATCTGGTATTCACTCGTCACAGCTGGATGTATCTACCTCCAAGAAAGTGATACTATTCAAGCATAATTCATCACTTCAAACCCAAGAGCTTTATCCACTAGGCCGGTGTGAGTCATTGACACCTACTCTTTATGCGATGGGTAAAGTTTCACAGACACCCATTTGTCTCATAGATGCCTTAACGAAGAGGATTGTTGGTCAAATTTTTTTTTTGGGGGGGGGGGTTATCAGAACGGTTACATTTCAGATTTTAGTAACCATGACTTTATAGGGGGTAAAAGCATGGTCTAATTTTTTAATGACAGAAATTTCTCGTCTGGTTGCTTCTACTTGTACCAATGGTACCACTCGTCACTGACTGATCACTGGGGGGTCATAATAGCTATTTACCTGGTTCATATGCTTTTGCATACAAATGACTGTACTAATTCATTGATGTCTATGGTCCATTATCCATTAACTGGTTTTTGAATCGAGATATTGTAAGCATTACATACGACCAAGTCGTATGCAGTTAAGCCTTCTGACTTCATTCAATTTGATTGATTCACCAGCTAAAGTGAGATGTAACAGCAGTAAAACTAACATGAACATTCAGTTATCAAGTGAGACAACCTAGTCAATGCACAATTTTCAATAAAAATCCCAATAGACGCCCATATCTGTTGACCATTATTAATTATCAGTTAATCGAAATAACTCAAAAGATCTCAGAGAACAGAGGTCACTGGAGACGTGCTACTGAAGCCCTATGTTCCACTAGGAACCCAAGGGACTAATAATAATAATGATCGAAATGACAAGGAACCGACAGGAACTAATGATATCAGTTGGCATCGATTGGTTCTACTGGTTGACTGCTAAGAAAAGAAGCGGAGAGGGTTTTTTTTGTTAGTATTATATCTTTAATTCAGTTTTGAGTCGATAAACCATCGGTACAGGAAAATTAGCATTAAATAGAAGAGGAAAACACTATATAAACACCTTGCTTTAAGTGACGAATATCAATAGGCATGAAAGCTAGGTCCAAGGTTACTTGTCAACTAGCTGAATTT